TTCTGGAAGATCTATTAACACTTTACGTTTTTAATTTCTCACATTTTTATAAATGCAGTGTCCACTGAAGCAAGTGCTTTATCTTTAGGCATGCTTGGCCCTCAACCCAAACAGGCCCAGTCTGTCCTTGCCAGTCTCCATCTCCTCTAACCTACTCAGTGACACCATTTTATTTCTATATCAGGCCCTACCATCTTAACTTCTCAAAGAAAAGATTCTGATATTTGTCATTTACACAATCCTATTGCCTGGGACTTCTCTGGGAAAGGAGACAAAGTGATGTTTTTTTCTCTGTGGAGGGAAATTAAAAAAAAAAAAAAAAAACCTGACAATTACCTAGCAGGTGTGTATAGGAAAAGAGTATCACTTTGAAAGAAGAAAGCAATTTCCCAAAATTATTCTAAAGTAGGCTCAGTGTGACAACCTGTTACATCCTTTCATGGGAATGGAGAAATTATTCACAATTAGCAGAGAACATATTGGAATGATATTCATGATATTCATTGACTTTAGTCATTCAAATTGTATGTTGGTCTTCACCTTAATTAAATAGCTGAGACAAGAAAGATATTAATTATTGAACATCCATCGTGAGCACAGGATGAGATATTTTAATCAAAAGATACAGGAATAATTTTACTTCAAGGTTAAAAGACAAACCACCTGCACACAGTAAAAAAAAAAAATCTAGTGTAGAACAAGAAAGCAGTTCTTGCTAAGAAAATCCAACATTCGATCTTACTTTTATCCATACACCATCTTATTGAAGGTAATCATTTACTATCAATTCCTTAAATGACACCAGACAAAGTGTTATAAGCATGAAGGGAGAAAGAATAATTAAAGTGATTTTCAACAGAAGTTGGACAGATAAATGTCTCTAATCATCATACTTTGATCACAAATGCCATTTATTCTTAATGTAATCTTCATTGCTGGTTTCTTCCTTCACTTAATAGCAATGAGATAGCCTATCAGGTGTTACAGGATTTAATCCTCATACATAAGTAATGAGATATTTTCAAAGAAGACCCAGAAAATATAAATTTATGAGTGAAGAAAGTAATTTCCTATGGGTAAGAACTTTGAAGTCAAAGCTTCTCTGACCTGTCTTACAACAAAGCAGCTATTGCTGCACTAATGTCAATATCCTGTTCATTTATGACATCCCTTCCCCATCCTGAGCCTGCTTTCTTTTCCTGCTTCCTAACTCAGATTCTTTGAGCATTAGGTGCTTGGTCTAGGATCTGCATCTCTATTTGCATCATGTATGGAGGTACAGCAACTCCACGTTGGTGCTCAGTCACCCAGTTCCACTTCCCCAGCCACTGCTCAAACAGCTCAGCAACAGATTTTCATCCCTGTGAGGAGCCATCATCACCCTTTTCTGCACTTTGAAGGGCCCAAGAATCAGGGGATCTCTTTCTGATATCATAATATTTTTTTGTGTTTAAACATTAAGAAAAATTACTTGTGCACTTTAGGGACAGGGAATGCAACTTAATGATTTCATTTTCTACTAAGTAGCTTACAACTTACCACGTGCTGGGTCACTTCAAAAATATTTGCTAAGTTATTGACCCAATAAGTGAATGGTCTGGTGGTCTTTTGCTACGACAGGATTTCCTATTGAAAATCTCCAGGTCATAAGTGGACCAAATTCTATTTATAGAAATGAACTCTCTAAATTCACTACAGAGTTATCATAAATGTGCCAGAAGGTTGATTTGTGGGTTACTTACTACTGAGTTAAATTTGAAATGAAATTTGCTTTCCCAATGCACACATATAATGAAAAGCACTGACAAATCTTTTACTTGGGTTGATGTTTTCCTGGCATGCTGGAATGAGAGAGTCTGACCTCCTTCTTAGAAGGGAAACAACTGATGGTGGTCATTACATTGACATTCTCAAATTATACTTTGTCCTCATTTCTTATTCCCATGGGAACCACATTTTTACCATGACATGAAATACCAAAATTATGACATCTGGTTCCAAGATTAAGAAATAGAAATCTATGTGATTGGCTTCCAGAACTTCTGGTATGGAGGTTACCAAAAAATCTGAAACTCCCCCAGCTCAGTTGCCTTGAATAGAATTATGCTGACCAAAAAACTGGATTTTAAATGGGAAACGTTAAAACACCCAGCTACACCTACCTACACAGAGACTTGAAGTGTCCACTCTGATATAGATGCTCAAGGACAACTAGATTCTAATTTAGTAAGCTATCTGCCCATGAAAATCTGAACTGTCTAGTACATTTACATTATTTAGTGCTGGAGAGATGTCAGAAAACCATATCCATTATTTGGACTTTATTAATTATCAAGGAAATAAAATCAGAGGGCTGAAACTCATCTATATAAGGTATTTATAAGATTTTTTTGTTAGAACAGAAATAAGTTCAGTGGTGATGGTTTTAGAAATCAAAAAGTAAAGCGCACATGTTATCCTGTTGGGTGTCTTTAGAAGGAAGGGCGCTTATATAAGGAAGAGAAAAGACAGAAATATCTCTGGAGAGTACAATAGCACCAGAGGCTGTGGATGGAACTTTGAACTAATTGTGTCCTAGGGCTTGAAATATCACCAACATTTCTGAAAGTGAACTTTATAGATTTTGATTTTGTATTTGACTACTCAGTATGAAATGGACTAAAATTTTTCTGTACTTCTAAAAGCTATAGAAAAAAAATTCACATTTCCTATTTGCTGTTAAGGACTAATGAGGATGATATACATATACATATATATGTGTCTACACATATACATATATATGCATTTATATTTATATATGTATAATTATGTTTATATAAATTTATACATATGGTCTAGATAATATTAAATCAAAGAAGAAATAAAATCATCAAAATGTTGATGTTGGGTTATAACAAATAATAGTGGTTAACACTTAAAGAGGTGTATCTCTCATATAGAGAGATCTTTTTTGTTGTTGTTGTTGTTTTTAAATATAACCTCTTCAATTCTGGGAAATCTAGCATTTATCAGATGCTATCACCCAGCTGGATTTAATCAGTTAATGTTGAAAGTAGCCAGAATTTCTAATATGAGCAGTAACATAAAAATTCCTGAGTAGAAAGATGATTTATTTTTTAATGATGAAATAAAAAATGCAAACGGGGGGAAAATGAGCCTCACGTAATCAGAATGGTAAAGAAACTCAACCTAGAAGTCTCAAAGGCTACCAGGAAAAGTTTTAAGACACTCAATCAGAAATGTAGCTCCATTTCTTTCCTTTCTTTTCATGGTCTCTGGAGAACAATGTTCTAATTGCAAATGACTGAAAAATGAAACCAATAATCAAAGAGCTGATAAGGTGGGAAACTTAGTGAGGATTCAGGATATAAATGCCACACATGGAGAATGTTCCGAAAATGACTCTTCTGATAGTGCAGGATTTAACTTCAAATGTTAAACTGGTGTACAAAGTGAAGAGTAAGATCACAAGAAATGCAGAGTAAGAATTGGAATTCTGTCACAGATTATCCTTTATGTCCTACTGTCCTATTCTTTATGTAATTTTGACCAGTCAAAATTCTACCCTGGAAGCAGGCCAGAATTTGTTTGTGAGAATCTGGAAGCCTTGTGTGTGGCCAAGAAAGTAGAGTAGGTGAATACTTAAGACTTTTTAAAAATACTTGAAAGCAATACTTATGTAGAAGAATACTTAATGGGAAATTCTTCACAACATCACAATTTTGAGATAGATGTAATGGGAGTTCCTCAACACTCATCTTCCCATTTCTCAAGCCCATTTCAAATATTTAATTATGCAGCATAATTATTAACACTTCTTCATGCCAAATATTGCCAAAGCAGTCATTTTATGATTGTTGTTTGATTTCTTCTTAAAGCTTAATCCTTACTATGGTCAGTTGTTAATGTTTTTGTTTTGTTTTGGTTTTGGTTTGGTTCTAGGGATTGAACCCAGGGGTGCTTAACCACTAAGTCACATCCCCAGTCCATTTTTCATTTTTAATTTTTGAGACAGAGTCTCACTAAGTTGCCTAGGGTCTTGCTACGTTGCTGAGGCTGGTTTTAAACTTGCAATCCTCCTGTCTCAGCCTCCCAAACTGCCAGGATTATAGGCGTGTGCCACTAGCCCCAGGAGGACATATTTTTAGGTTGTTACATTTCATAGATATGGAAACATTTAGTTAACATGCTCCAGGTCACACTATTAGAAAATAGTAGAACCAGGATGGAACCCAGCAGGTCTCATCCAAAGACATTTCCCTGCACTCACTCCAGGGCCACCTTTTTCTGATGGTCCCCAAATAATCTGAATGCCACAGTATTTTGTGCCTCTTCTATTTAGCCTATATTATGGTGCCTTTGTTTGTAATCACTTAATTACTTGTTCCAACCCCTTACTTGTTTAGATCATAAACTTGTTTAGAGCCAAAATTATCTTTGTTTCTTGCCCCCACGTCCTGTTTTATTGTCCATAAAGAGTTGGTACTCAATAGATTTTGGTTAGGAAATAGAATAAATGGGTTGAAAGGCTAATTTGTCCAATCATTTATGCCCCACCCTCTTCATGCCATTAAAATACCAACCAAAATGGGTCCACGTAATCCTTTCTTCCTCCCCAAAAAGAGGTCACTGAGATCTGAATTCAGGAACACAACTACAGATTTGCTTCCAATCCCATCTTGTCTCCTCTCTACTTACACAATGAAATCCAACTAAAGTGTTGACCTTCATTTATTTAAATTTACTGATATTCCACGTTTCACAGTAACTTCTAAGAGTTGAAACAAATGCTGACCATACTCAATTCTATTAAAGTGTTTGGAAAAGTCAATAGTAGCTAAAGTTTATAAGTAGACATATTCTACTTTTTATTACTATTTATTTTTATCTTATTTACAAAAATTTTTGAACTACAGTGTGATAATTTGATACCTATATACAGTAGATGATGGTCAAATGCCTGTAACTAACATTTCCATCTCTTAAATGTTTTTTTTAAGTGTTTTGATTGGCACATAATAATTGCACATATTTTGATGAAATGTATCAGAAGGGGTTATGAAAACTTATAGAAGACTCAGAATGCACGAAAGTCCACCAGTCCAGGATGCTCAGGTGAGGGGTCAAAGTAGCCTTTCAAGTTCTCTTGATTTCAAAATCTTACCTGCCCCTGTTCATCTAAGAAGCCATCAGAGGTGTTACTGTGAATCCTCATTAAATAATAACATGGAATGAAGTTAAAATGAGTTTCTTCATCTATTTCCTCCCTGTACAATGAACTTCACCCCCTTACTCATAATTAGGTGAAATGCTTCCTTGTCTTATATTTTATTTTATGGGAAGATAAAATAGTTTCTTTAAATTTTTAATATTTTTCAGCCCAACTTTAGCAAGCTGAAAAACATTAAAAAGTTAAAGAAACTAAGCCTTTAAGTAATAAAATTGGAGAATGTTACAACTCAGAGGCATCAAACAGCATAACTGAAATATATGCATTTTCCTGTATTTAAATTGCATCTCAATAGATTTATTTAAAACGAATTGAAAGTTGTTTAAAGCTACACAGGGTATGAGTGGCAGGGAGGACATTAGGACTCTAACCTCTGCCTGCCAGGCCAGTCCTGTTTGGCTCCACAACTCCCCTGCTTCTTTTCTTTCTTGATGCAAATGCATTTCTCCAAACCAAGTCAGGTAACGGCTTTGCACCCTTGGTAATTGATTCTGGATAACTGACTATAGGATGTATCATCACAAAGAATAAGAGATATTCCATGGCGTTCAGATTTAATCTGATACATTAAATCATCAGCTCAGAAGCATGGAGTAGGCATGACTCAGGCTCATTTCCAGGAAGACAAAATAATGATTTTTGTCCTGTCAGGAGGAAGGGAGGAGGAAATGAGTGAGCTGAAGAATACTACATGTCATTGATAATTCTAGAAGAAATATGAAAAAGTAAAAGTACTCTGCTAGTTTTCTTTCAAGCCAGCAAAAGCCTAATCTAGGCACATACTGTAATTATAATGTATCCCTAGGTGTGGCATATATAGCAAAAGCATGCAACTGCGATTTAGGAAAAATAGAGCTGCTAAAATTGTGCGTGTGTCAGTGCCATATGTAGGGAGATATACAGTTTTTTTTTTCCTAGCTGTCTGGAATTCTCTCTGCAGCCTACTGTCAATTCCAGTGGGACTGTGTTTTAGGTGAGGCCATCCTCATAAAGGGAAGGCCTGTGATAATAGTGAAGTGCCATATTGTGTCTATTGAAGACAGGGCTAGGTAAAAAACACTCTTTGATCCACAGGCCTTGCTCCAGGCTAGTCTCTGTTAACAGTAGCAAACACCTAACTTAACACCCCCTAGATGGGCCTTGACTAGAAAGACTTACTGACATTCCACAAGCCACAGGTGCTGGGAGAAAAGCTATTTTGTACAGTCAGAATCACAAAGTGGGACAAGCAAAGAAGGAGCCTTGAGTTCTGGATACTACTTTTCATTTTGAGCTTTTCAAGCAGTTTACAATTTACTCTCTCTCTCTCTCTGGGAAATGATAGCTCTATTTTTAATATTTCCTTAGGGCCTGTATTTCTCAAAACTTTACTAATTAAATATAGTTATTTTATTTTTCAGAAAAAAATTATAAATTGCACAATGGCAAAGCCCTAAGCCCTTTGGCGATCGAAATGTTTGAAAATTTCATAAATAATATCTCTATTTTTAGTATTTGGAGAAGTACATATATGATTCACTGTGTTTTCTTGTTTACAAGGAGAACTTCTTGGATTTTTAAGCTTATTTTCTTAAATTAAGTATAAAAAATTCTTTATGGTTGTCATATTTTACAAAACTGTTTTATTTGTTATTGTATACCCCTCAGATAACTTACTGCTACCCTCAGTGTGATACTGAATTCCAAAGTATTTAAAGCAAATATACCCCATGTCTGAAGATTAGTCTGAACGTCCATTCAAGCACTTCACAAATAAATGAAATTAATTTAAGGGGGAAATGAATAAAACCAGGCCTTCACTATAAGAATTCACACCAGTTGGGGAAACTACAGAAAAAGCAAGAGATATCATTTCAGAATTCTTAAGACTCAAAGGAAGAAGTGAATCTAGAGATTACTACTAATTTATGGTTGGTTTGATTTATTCTCTGAGACACTCCTGCCTCATTTTCAACTGAAGTATCAAAGAAAGTGATGACAACTTTTATATCCTATGCTTCTAGGTAATATAATGTCCTGAGGCCTAGAGTATTCCCTCAGCTCAAATTTAAGTACATTAGGGGAAATTGTTCATTAATCTATGGTATACACTCATGTGCTTTTAAATTTCATTTTAATCATTTGTACTAACTGACAGACTAGATCCCCTGGAAGCCCTGAAAAATCTACTAATAGGCAATTGCTTTATATGTCAGTGGGAGCATTTTCATTTCTAAATCTTTAATCTCATTATATAGTTAATATTTCTCTTACAATTTAACAATGGAGAAAAATCTGACTGCCATTGTTTTGTTTATGATATTTGCAAAAAAGAAAAAGACTATGTCTGTGTTACTACTTCTAGAAAAGAACAACATGGTAGTATTATAATAGTAATATTAATGATGGGCAGATAATGTTTTCTGTTCTTGGCTCTGCCAACCAATTATTTTTAGAACTTTAGGTAAATCATTGACATCTCCAAGACTCAATTTTCAAACCTATAAAATTGAGATGAAAATATTGGGTCAACTATAGGGATACTGTAACACATTTTAATTGGCTGCTATACTCCAGACACACAAGTTCTATCCCAATTATGAACAGTAACATCATCACCATCATCATTGCCATCACACACACACACACACAAAAAAAAAAAAAAATACTGAGTAAAATGTGAAAATGTAAAATGTCTAGTACAATGTGACAGAAGGGTCGTTTGTAGAACAAGACAAGTAGATGCCACTACATTGCCATTATAAAGCATCATAAACTGAGTGGCTTAAAATAACAAAAATGTGTTATCTTACAGAGAGGACAAATAAAGATCTGAAATCAAGGTATCAGCAGAGTCACACTCCCTCTAAATGCCCAGGGAAGAATTCATCTTTACTTTTCCAGATCCTGGTGTCTCCGGGTGTTCTTGGCTGCTGGAAACATAACCCCAATGTCTAATCCCATCTGTATACTTTCTCTGTGTAACCAAAGCTCACTTTTCTTTCCTTTATAAAGATACCAGGCTTTGGCTTTAGGACTCACCAGGATGACTTCCTCTCTAGAGTCTTAAATGACACCTACAAAGACCTTATTTACACACAAAATCCTTGGAGGTTGTGGATGAACATGAATTTTGGAGAGACATCATTTAATCCACCAAGTGCCAGCTTCCATATAGCATGATAAAAGCTCTCTGGGAACCTACTTTAAGAAGAATTTCACAGCAGAATTCAGGATCAGTAGGGGGAGTCTAGGTCATGAGCATGGGCATAAAAAGTGGGTATAATTTTCAATTACTCATCTGTAAAGAGGAATTAAATTATGGCATTTGCTAATGCTAAGTGAAGTTAGTCAATCCCTCCCCAAAAACAAATGCCCAGTGTTTTCTATGATATAAGCAGGCTGACTCATGGTGGGGTAGGGAGAGGGAACATGGGAGGAATAGATGAATTCTAGATAGGGAAGAGGGGTGGGAGGGAAAGGGAGGAGCCAGGGGATTAGCAAGAATGGTGGAATATGATGGACATCATTATCCAAAATACATGTATGAAGACACAACCTACTTTATATACAAACAGAGATATGAAAAATTGTGGTATATATGTGTGAAAAAATTATAATACAAAAAAACAAAGTACATGTATAAAGATATAAATTGGTGTGATCGTACTTTATATACAAAGATATGAAAAATTGTGCTTTATATGTGTAATAAGAATTGTAATGCATTCTGTTGTCATGTATTAAAAAAATAAAATCAATTAAATTTAAAATAAATAAATAAACAAGTAAATTATGGCATTTGCTAGTAAACGGATGAACCTGGAGACTAGTATGCTAGTTATCCCAAAAAATCAAAGGTCGAATGTTCTCCCTGATATGTAGATGCTAACACATAACAAAGGCAGGGGAAAATAGAAGTTCATTGGATTAGACAAAGGGGAATGAAAGGAAGAGAAGGGGGATGGGAATAGGAAAGACACTAGGATGAACTGAACATAACTTTCATATGTTCATATATGTATACATGAGCAGTATAACTCCACATCATGAACAACCACAGAATGGGAAGTTTTACTTCATGTATGTATAATATATCAAAATACTCTACTGTCATGTATATCTACAAAGAATACACACACACACACACACACATATATATATATATATATATATATATATATATATGTATATGAAAGAAAAGAGGGTGCACCTTCATCATGTTCTCATAATCACTTGTCATGAGAGAAAAAGAGAGTGAAGGAGAGATTTGTCAGGGTTCAAGGGCACTCAGTGCAAAGGTGAAGTTGCATTAGAAATAAATCTTCCAGGTCACAATTCAGTGCTTTTTACACTGCATAACTTAAAAATCTTTAATTATACCAATAATTGTTTAGATATTTTTACTAAACATATAAATGAAAGAACCTAGAACACTATTGACATCTAAATAGGTTAAATACTTTTGGTTGACTTTCTTTTCTAGCTAGTAATTGGTATCAGTCTAACCCTCCAACTGAGAACAAATTAAATATGGATGTTCTTAAATTTAAAGGTAAAAAATACTGGAGTTACTTGAAAGTGTTGAAGAATTAGTTTAACTGATGTTTATGTATGCTAGTATCTGAAAGAATGTACTTTAAGGAACATTCCACAGTGACAAAAGATGAATTAGAAAGGGCCAATTTAAGAATAATAAATAAAAGCCCTAAATTTGTAAATATCCAGTGATATGCCTCTGAAATTAAAAATATATATATTTTACAGAATTAAAAGGATATATAGACAAATTCATAGGTAGATTTCTTTTAACTACATTTTTCTGACAGGCAGAATAAGAAGACAAAAAATAAATAAATAAGGACATAAAAGTCTTGAACTAGATTAAGAAACATGACCTGACTAATTTAAAAGACAGTACACATAATTACTACAGAAGGCCTATTCTTTCAAGAAGAACATGGACTATCACAAACACTGACCATACACCTGCCCCACCAAGCACATGCTCACAAATTTCAAAGAATTGAAGTCATTTAAAGTACATTCTCTGACCATTGTGTAATATAGATACAAATTAATTGTTATGAAATAAACAAAAAAATTCCAAAATATTGGATGGATTTTAAGCAAAATACTTCCAAACATCCATGAATATAAGAAGAAATTACAATATAAACTAGTAATATATTGAAATTAATAATAATGAAAGACTACATGCAAAACAGCTGGGGTACAGAATATAACTTGTGGGACACAGCTACTGCAATATATTGAAAAACATGTACAGATTTAAATGCATACACTAGAAGAAAAGAAACACTTATTTATCCTCTCATTCCAGTTATGTCCAGTTCATCCTAGTGTCTTTCCTATTCCCATCCCCCTTCTCTTCCTTTCATTCCCCTTTGTATAATCTATGCTTTCATATTAAGATGCCTAAGGGAAGATGCAAATTAAACACAAAAGGTTTAGAAAGAAGAAAATAGTTTCTTAAATTGCAGATAATTACTATTCAAAGAGGAAATCAACAAATTCCAAATTTTGATTTTTTAAAAAAACTAATAAAGATTGATAAACTTTCAACAAAACTGGTCAAGAAAACACATAAACAATGTCAAGAATAAAAAATATTCGAACAGGAAAAATGGAATTGGAGAATATCACGAACAACTTTATATCAAAACATTTTCAAAATGTAGAAAAACCAGACAAACTCATTCAAAAACAATGTATTAAAACTAATACAGAAAAAAATATAGAATATGAATAGTAGTCTATTAAAGAAATTAAACTTCTAATACAAATATTCCCAAAATATAAATTTTTAGGACCAGATGGCTTCATCAATGAATTCTTCCTAAAATTTAAGGAAGAAATAACACAGGTCTATCACAAACTTATTCAGAAATTAAAAATAGAAGGAAAATCCCTTAACTTACTTCATAAAATTGGCATAATTTTGATACTGAGGACATTACAAAAAAGAAACACCATGGTGTAATCTGTCTTATAAACACATACATTTAAAAAATCCTTTACAAGTACTAGAAAATTTATTCCAGAAGTATATGTAAAACATTAATGCACCAAGACAAATGATATTTTAATACAAAGTTGGCTTGACATTTGGAAATCACTGAACATAATTCAATATATTATAAAATAAGAAAAACTATATGATCATGTCAATAAAGTAAAAGCATGTAATTCCGCATCTATTCAAAATACAAATGTTAGCTAATTTTTAATAAAGCATAAGTTTCTTACTTTGATTTTGTTGAAGTTATCTGAAAATCCTGAGATCAAGAATGAGACAAAAATGGGTAGTATTACCACTTTCTCAACATTGTGTCAAAGACCCTATACAATGCAATGAGATAAATAAATAAAATGTTAAAGGAAGAAATAAATTGTCATTATTTGCAAATGATATGGCTTTTGCATAAAAATATTTACAGATAAAATTAATAAGTAAATCTACTATAGGCATTGCTATGGGGTTGTTAAACTTCTTGTTATTATACTAGAAAATATTTTAAAAATAAAATTTATAAGTGATTTTATTTATCCTCTCATTGCAAAATGTCATCAGGAATAAATCTAAATAAAGGGATGCATGACCTCTGCAAAGAAATCTACAAACCATTATTGAAAGAATTAAAGAATGCATAAATCAAAGCTGGAATATACCATAATTATGGATTAGAAGACTCAACATTATTAAGTTTTTTTTCAGAAGTTGACAACTGATTCTAAAATTTATATGGAAACACGAAGAGTCAAGAAATGTAAAGACAGTTTTGAATCAGAAAACAAAATTAGAAGATCAGAACTATGAGATATTAAGACTTATAAATTTACGGAAAATAAGTAATGTGATATTAAGATAAAGAAAGACAAATATGACACCAAGAGAATACAGACTAGAGAGGCAAAGACCCTCATACACAGATTCAAGGCTCATTTCAATAAGTGCTACTGGATCATTGGGAAAAAAAAATCCGAAATTTTACCTCTCTGACATGTTATTCCTAAAATTAACATCAGATGGATCAAAGACCTGATCTGTTGTAAGGAAAAAAACCATATCATTTTGAACATTAATTGCAGATTATCTTACTGACCATGAGACAAGCAGAAAATTCTTAAATAGCACTGTAATAACTGAAACCATAAAAGAATAGATTGACAGATTGGACTTTATTATAATTAAAACCTTCTACAACTTATTAAGAAAAAATAAGATGTGGGAGTATAGGTTGGTGGTAGAGTTAACATGTGTGAGTCCCTGGGTTTCATCTCTAGCATCATGAAGAAAAGGAAAACTCAACTTTTGATAAACAGGTAAAAGACTTAACAGGCACTTATATACATGTGCGCATGCACACACACCCCTGAGCTTGCTCTCTCCCCTGTTTTCTCTTACACACACTTACATGCATGCACATGATATCTGAATTAAGTACAAGTACAAATGGGAACACATGTGGAGGATAGGACTACTCAAATTACTTTTTTCACAGTTCCCTTGGTTCAGTCTTCAGGGGGAGGGCTGCTGTGTGTTTTTGAGTTAGAATTGAACAATCTTGTCTGCAGGGGAGAAGGCAGCACAGGGGGAGATGTGTCCTTCTGAAGCTACACGTATATATTGAGTCACTTCAGGGAAGTGATGTCCTCTTTTCAAATCCCATCACAGTACTCTCCATTGGCACTTCTCTGCCCTGTGCCTAGGTTCATGGAAATGGAGTGACATGAAAGAAGTAGAGGCAAAAGTCACACCCTGTGGGGATTAGTCCTGCCTCTGCCATTGGCTGTCAAGGTGATGTTTGGTAAGTTACTACATCTCTCTGAGCCTTAGTCTTCCCATGTAAGATATTGGGTCAAAATTTATTTCAAAGGTAGTTACAGGGACAAAATGAGATTATAAATGTGAAAGTGCCCAGCACAGATTTCACGACATGGAGTTTTAAATGTAGAGGTGTAGAGAGAGAGAACTTCCTGCAGCTGGTAATACTATTTGCACTGTTTTTTTTGCATGACTCATGCAATGTAAGGTCAGTACAGTGTACCTTTTTCTACTTATTAAGAACAATGAATCCATGCCCTCCAAAGATTATAATTTACTCTTGCAAGTATTTGTGTGTCAATCTGTACATTAGAATGCATTAATTAGTATCTATGTGGTTCTCTTATACATTAAAAATTACAGAGATGATGAAAACATATTATTGGAGGGGGAAGTATGAAACAATCAATAGAAGTAATAAACACAAGTGTTCTAGCTATTCTACAGTTATAAAAGACCAAACATATCAAACCATAATAAATTATCTTTTTTTTTTTTTTAAAAAAAAGGACCTTGATAAAAGACCTGTGGGATGGATCAGAGTAAGGCAAGCCATGAAATTGGCTTTGACTCACAAGACAGGACTATACTGAGGAGCAAAGTGAAAGTCAGAAATTAACTCTGGCTTAAATTCAGAGTTTCACACTGGCTTACTTTGAGCCAGACCCCCTATGACCTACATTTTTACAGCATCTTCACAAAACAAGGTCCCTGCATGGAATTTTCCTTCTAACATTATTGCCTGGAAATTGTTATGCATTTTTTGAAATCACAAACTCATTTCATTAAAAATACTTATGAATTCCTTAATATGTATCCACACTAGATATCAGGGATAAAATGGTGCACAAAATCAGACCATGACCTCATTCTCATGTGCTCAGCCTGTGCACTAATGTCCCTGTAAAACTTCCTGAGCTGCTTCCTCCCCTGTCCTTGAAGCTCTGGGTGCACACATGGTATTAAAGAGCAATCTGTGTGTTTACTGGGCTGTTACTCCAGCCTTGGAGGGGGCTCCACAGAGGAAGGATTAGGTCTATTCATTCTTTCTCCCCCAGGGCACAGCTCAGGATCTGACACATAGTGGGCACTCAATAAATGTTTGTTGGATGGAATCATGCATTATTCATGAGGTCTTGACACATTCAAATCCGTTAAATGAATCTATTTAAGAATATTAGAGAAATGAAAACAATTATATTCAGGAAAATTACATCTTTTTGAAACAGTCTTTGTTTTTCTTATTTTATTAGCATTTTATTAACAGCCCTAGCAGCTGCTTTAAAAATGCCCATAAGCTCATAATGTTAGTGGTTTCTAAAAGAATGCATAGTATTAATGTAGTTGAAATGATACATGGTCAGCCTTTTCCTGGGAAAAAATAAAATGAGCTTCCATTTAATTGGAAATAGCAATGTATATAAATGAGTTAATATACCAGGGGATCTGTCTTTTCTAAAACAATCAACAATGGTTCATCCAGAGATGGAAAGTGATAGAAGATATTAATAGAATTTGACTTCATGACACCAAAGTTTGGCACATCCTACAAACAAAGGTAACATCTTTTACTTAAAACATTTAGTATAGATCTAAAAGTTTTCTCAAAATCATAAAAGGTACTGAGTTATTTAAAAAAAAAAAATCAAAAAATGAAATGGCCATTATTTGTGCCAAAAAAAAGGTGTGTGTGGGGGAGAAGAAGTCATTCTTCAAGTAATACAAGGAGATTTTGGAAACTTAAGTAGCACAAACATCAAGGGAACTTTGGAGATGAAGAGATACAATTTCCATCTGCTTATCTTGAAGTAAATAACATTTTTAGCCTTTAGTCATCTTGTAAAAAATTCCTTAGAAAAGGATAAAAAAGTGAAAGTATGAAAGTACCTACTTGGTCTGGTGTTTAGATCCTTTCAGGTGGGCATGATACTGTTCTATTGAATTTAGGGAGACACTGCAGATGGTACATCTGTAATTGCGCCTCAGACCTGTGGAAAACAGACAGACCTGGTTAGCTCCGTCTGGATCAACCACCTGAATGAATTCTAGAACATTGAAAAGTTCAAGGACAGAGGACTTCCTAGTTCATACCACCCACTACAATTCAATCCCTCCTTCTGGATCCCAGCCAGCAGATCCCTTAGTAGAAGTGTGTCTGGATATATTAGAAACAGCCTACCCCATTTTTAGATGACTGAAATTTTGGAGACTTGGTTCTGTGAATTGAAGCAAAGTGTTTCTAGACATTCTATAATTCAAAAAAGCATTCTGTTTTTCCCCCTAAGTCATACTGATAGTTGGTTGTCTTCTCTGAAGTAAAATTTGAAACATCAAAAAACAAAACAAAACAAAACAAAAAAAACAAATAAACAACCACAAAATTCTCTTTCCCATTCCTTTTCTACCTTTCTTCCATTGGCAGAATAGGAAATACAATTTTAGACATCATTCATTTAGTTTTCCCTTCCATCATACAAGATGGAAATACCCAGGAGAAGGATAAAACATCAATCTGTTTCACACGAAGTATGCCTTTCCAACAGAGAGTTTAAAATACAGTTTACTTCATTAATAACAGTATCAACCATGGGCCAGGCACTAGGGATTCCAAGATGAAGAAGATAACTTTTTGCTTGCAAGGAGTTCAGCAAATTTCATAACTATTTTGTAGTATTGACTCATCTTGAGACAAACTTGTGTTACAAACAGCTTTTTACTAAATAACTTTAAACATCTGCCACAGCTCAGAGACCCACACTGGAACACTTTCCTTCTGCTAGTATGTCCCTTCAGAGTAGAGAGAAAAGAAAAGTTGGTCATGATCTGAAACTCTGGATTATATCATAGCTCAAATATCCCCGGTTGTGCAACCCACAGAAAGTAACATAACTTCTTCCTAGCCTCAATTTCCTCATCTACAAGTTGAAGACAAGCCCAACTACTTCACAATGCTGTAGTAAGAACTAAGAGAATAAAATGTTTATCAAGTAGAGTTATTAATATTGATTTTGCCATAAATTTCTGGTTTTCCTATTGTAAAACCAAAGACATTAAACAACTACAGCGTTTCTTTCTAATTAATGCATAGTATTTTTTTTTCTAAGAGGCAAAGCTATTCCCTATTTCCCTAAGAAAATAATGCATAATGGTTGAAAGATCTTTGCAACTTGTTACCTGGATCACTTTATGCAACTTATTTGACGTCTGTAAACTTCTGTTTCCTTTTAATGTTGGACTGAGTGACATATTAAATGTGTATGGGAGGGAGAGCCTGGTATGTAACATATGATCAATATAAGTTAGTTATGATTATGATTTTGGATAGATATCAAAATGGAATCCCTTATGTCTCAGGGATTTGACATCTTGCCCTGAAGTCTTGAGACAGATAGCAAGTGCACCCCCATTACCAAAGTGAAAGAAGAAACCCCAGGGCAGTTGGGACATTCACGGCAAATGAGCAAGAACCAGTGTCACACCACAAAGTGACCACTCAATGCCGGTCTACAAGGGAGTGAAGAAGAAATCAGAAGTGTCTTTCCGAAGAGGGAGCTATATTGTACTGGAAGTTCCATCTTCCCTTCTCCACAGGAGAGCACTGTGTATTTCTCCCCCACTTCAAGCCTATTGGAGATGTCTTAATAATGTTACCTAGTGAGCTTGAAGAGTATCTTCTTGCACTTGTAAGCTATGAACATGAATCTGCACTGGCAAGACCCAAAGTACTAGTGACTGTGACTCCGACTCTGATGGAAAAGTACAAGAGGTGGCAGGACTGGATGTGGCCTGTCTTATCAGAGCTTGTCAGACCAAATTAGTATTTCCTACAGACTATGTGTAGACTATACATAAGAGCAGCTGATTTAGTAATGTCTTAGATAATACACAAGAGGGTATTACTGAGTTATAGAAGTTGAGGGCAAAGAGACCTCCATAGAAAGTGTTCATCTAGGTACTTAATGTGGCCTCAGATGAGATATTTAGCTGATATTAAGTAATGGTGAGTCCCTGATAAAGCCCAAGAGAAGAATCAGTTTGCAGTCCCTTCCATTCAAAGAGCATCTAAGCTAGCTTTGTATAGAAGCCATCAAGTTAGCTTTCATTTGCCATGTCTTTTGAATTCTTCACCCTGCATCTCTCAGCCCTAGAGAAACGAGAGGAAATCTACTGAAGGGGGGGAAAAAGTGAAGTCCTAGAAGACAAGCAAAACTCTAGGCAGAGAAAAAGAGAAAAAACCTAGCATATTTTCTTTCTGTCAGCAAGCAAGCAGCCCTAAGTACAGAGCTGGAAGAGGGGGGGTACCTGGCTTCTAAAACTTTTGGGGATATTTTAAAAATATTGCTCTATCCTGAATATATTAATAACTATCAATGAGGAGCAAAGGACTCTCTATGACATGAAAGTGGAATTTCATGACATGTCCTAATTTTATTACAAAGGGTAGGAAAAAATGAACCCATTCTGTAGGCTCTCTATTCACCTCATTGATTGTTTCATTGGCTGAGAAAAAGCTTTGTCATTTGAATCCATCCCATTTATTGATTCTTGGTTTTAATTCTTGTGCTACAGGAGTTTTATTAAGAAAGTTGGGGCCTAAACCAACATGATGGAGATTTGGGCCTACTTTTTCTTCCATTAGGTGCAAGGTCTCTGGTTTAATTCCTAGGTCCTTGATCTATTTTGAGTTTTGTGCATGGTGAGAGATAGAGGTTTAATTTCATTTTGTTACATGTGAATTTCCAGTTTTCCCAATGTACAATTTTGGTGTCTTTGTCTTATACAAGATAACTGAAGTTATATGGGTTAGAATCTGTGTCCTCTATTCTGCACCATTGGTCTACAGGTCTAGGATATACAATCAATCAACATATGAAAAAATGTTTAACATCCCTAGCAATTAGAGAAATTCAAATCAAAACTACTCTAAGATTTCATGTCACTTCAGTCAGTATAGCAGCTATTAAGAATACAAACAACAATAAGTGTTGGCAAAGATGTGGGGAAAATAGGCACAGTCATATATTGCTGGTGGGACTGCAAATTGGTACAGCCAATCTGGAAAGCAATATGGAGATTCCTTGGAAACCTGGGAAAGGAACCACCATTTGAACCAGCTATCCCTCTCCTTGGTCTATACCCAAAGGACTTAAAAACAGCATACTACAGGGACACAGCAATATCAATGTTTATAGCAGCACAATTCACAATAGCTAAACTATGGAACCAATCTAGAAGCCCTTCAGTAGATGAATAGATAGGGAAACTCTGGTATATATACACAATGGAACATTACTCAGCAATAAAAGAAAATAAAATCATGGCATTTGCAGATAAATGTATGAAGTTGGAGAACATAATGCTAAGTGAAGCAAGCCAATCTCTAAAAAACAAAATCCGAATGTTTTCTTTGATATGAGGATGCAGACAAATAATGGTGATTTTGTTGGGAGCATGGGAGGAATGGAGGAACTTTATATAGGTTAAAGGAGAGGGAGGGGAAAGGAGGGGGCAAGAGGTAGGAATGATGGTGGGATGAGTTAGACATCATTACCCCTAAGTATATGTATAAGACACAAATGGTTTGAAAATACTCTGTGTACAATCAGTGTCTCTAAAAATTATGCTCTGTATGTGTAATATGAAATGAATTGCATCCTGCCATCATGTGTAACAAATCAGAAGAAACTTTAAATATATATATATTTTTAAAAAGAAGTGAAGGCAGAGCTCCTCCTCACAAGATAGTTCCAGTCAATATATTTAGAAGAAAAAATGATTAAATTACCATTTTCAATATAAAACAAAAAACAAAAATGAACCCTGCAAACACAATTTGAATGGTCAGAGGAGGATAAACATGAAGTTCCCTTCTGATGACATCACATCCAACAGGTCCTGCTTACTGAAAGTAGCAGTCATTAGACTTGATTTCATGTCCACAATTGAACAAAGAACAGAGCTTTCTGGGGTCATTCACACTTTTATGTTCTGATGCACATTTCAGGGAAATCTATGTGCAATGTCCTGTGTAAGCTGGGTTGGTTAGTTTGAGGACTGTTCATTTCAATCACAAACTGACTTATCTAATTGTTCCATTAAGAGCCAATTTAAAGGGGTTGGAGATGAAGCTAAGTGGCAGAGTGCTTGTCTAACAAGTACAAGGCCCTAGGTTTAATCCACAGCACTTAAAAAAAAGAGAGTCCATTTAATTATGGAAGAAAAAAAGGATAAAGCAACAAAACTACAAATATCCAGGATCTTCTCTGGAAAGTCTAAGGAACCCAAAACTTCTTGGGCATGGCTTCCAAGCTCAGAAATATAATAGACAACTGTCAAATCTTTACTTGCTGGAGAAATGACTCTCAGGTGAGTGCAGATACATCCTCCAGTGATAGTGCTAACCTTTAGATTCCCAGGCAAAACTTGTGGACATGCCAATTCTATAAGTTTTGGATGGACCCTGGAAATGTATACAATCCTCATCCCTACCATGTTCTCACATTTGAAAAAGAACTCCCCCCACATACTTGTACTCCTTTGGGAAACTTGAAGCCATCACAACAATACTGGGTCTTCAAAAGAAAAAGAAAAGCTATTTTATAAAGAAGAGCTCTGAGCCAGGTACAATGGTTCAGGCCTGTAATTCCAATGACTTGGGAGGCTGAGGCAGGAGGACTGCAAATTTGTTACACAGCTTCAGAAACTTAGCAAGGCCCTAAGCAACTAAGTGAAGCCCTCTCTTAAAATGAAAAATAAAAAGGGGTAGGGATGTAGCTCAGTGGCAAAGTGCCCCTGGGTCCTATCTCCAGTACCAAAAGATAAAAATAAAAAATAAATAAAGAGAGCTACTTATATTGGCTTTCCATTTCACAGGCAAGCATGATTCAGAAAGATTATTACAGTCCCCAAACCCAGAGGCTGTAAGTTATCACAACCAATGTGGAAGTTGTCTGAAAGCTTATCTGGGGCTGATCCATTCTGCTCTTTTATGCATAGAATCAAAATATGAAAACCAGCTTCAGGCATTACTCCCTCCAGAGTTCACCATCAGTCTTGTCATAATAAGAGGTAACTATTTTTATATGAATCCTCTTCAGACTACAGACTAATCAAAGGTCTCCTCATAGCAAACGGAGGTTCAGCTTGGCAATAGGCATAAATATTTATGTTTAAAAATGGGCATTTTTAAGAACACCAACATATCTAAAAAATATTCTAATCTGTTGCTTTCCATAACAGTTCTCATGCTCTGAAGCCATACAGAGGCGTGGGCAGGAAATATTTGGCACTTTATTGCAATGCAAACTACAGGGATCCTAAACTGGAAAGGCAGTGCATATGAACAAGAACAAAGGTAAAGAAGGAGCAGAGGAAACCTCCCCCACACAAGACACAGTGTCCTTGGTGGGAACTTAGCACTTTATTAATGTTCAGTTGAAATTGTAATTACTTTGGAATTATACAACTCTTTTTTTCTTTTGAGAACTAGAGAATCTTATTATTAAACCCCAAATGCTAACTTTCTTATTCAATTCATTTTCACAATACCATATTAGGAATATCCTAAAGCCCTTGCAAGCCTAAAGGTTATTTCAGCTATTGACTAATGGATTGAAATATTGTCCCTGCCTTCCAAGAGCTGATGGACAGTGCAGCTAGATAGAGAAGACATGTACACAAGTAAAATGTGCAGATAGACCATCAAAAGAACAACAGGGAGTTTGGTCTTAGACATAATGGGAACAAGAGGAGGGGATTGCTTCTAACTCCGAAGATCTGGAAAAGCTTTTTGAAGATGAATCACACTTGTATTTATATTTCCTAGCACAGTGTTTATAAAACAGATGGTCCTGGAGAGTTTAGCAGAATGTGTCTTTTCAAGTCTAGCAAAGCTAGATGTCCCTATGGCTCCAACTGCATCCACTCTGCATTAGAGAAACATGATCGAGCCTGTATTACAGTGCCAGGTATTTTGCTGAATGCCAAGAATACAGGAAAGAATAAGACACAGCATATTTGCTTATGGAGTTAATCAGGGAGAAAAACCAGACACAAGTAAACCAATGGAAAACACAATTAAAGGTTGTGAAAGCATTGCACAGAAAGTAAAGAGGAGGATGAGAGGAACAGAAGTGGGAAGAGCAGTGATTTCCTTGTTTGGTTCACAGGGTTCTCTGAAGTATGAAATGAAGCCAGAGGATAATGAATGGCCTTTGAGGTGAAGAGCTGGGTCCAACAGAAGTCCCAGAAGTGGAAATGAGCTCGACTCTATCAAGGGATGAAAGGTGGTGGGGGAAAAATTAAAAGAAAAACAATTAAGAGTACAGTTTGCCAACAAAACTGTATTACAGAAATGGTACACAGAGTTCTTTAGGTTGAAAAATTAAGAACATTGGAAATGATTAATATGTGGATATCTCTCTTAAAATTCTTCTCAATTTATTTGAAGACTAAAAACAACTTAAAGTAAAAATCTCAACACTGTACTGTATATTATGATGTATATACATGTAAAATATACAAGAACAAAAGCAAAAAATGATTTGGAGTGGAACAATACTCTGGAAAGATCATTATGTTTTACATCAGATTATATATATGTCACTGTTGTTTACTTGTTTTTCAGCACTGGGTATTAAAACTATATATATATATTATATATATATAAAATATCCACTCTGCACTCTGAATAGTGATAATTTAAGGTTAGTGATCATTCAATGTGATCCCTTAGAACAACCACTAAACAAATACAAAGTGAAAAAGAGAAAAAGCAGCCAAAGAAAATAAAATAGAATAAGAAGAAATAATTAACACAAAACAAGTTCGGAAAAGAGAAATAAAAAGTAGTCAACAGATGGAACAAACAGAAAACAAACAGAAAACAAACAGCAAAATGATAAAACTGAATTGAACCAGGTTAATAATGAAATTACATGTAAATTAACTAAGCTCTCAAAATGCTAAAATTGTCAGACTGGATAAAAAAGCAAGTCCCAAATATACACTAAATCCAAAATAAAGTTTCTTTAATATTAGACAAAACAGACTTCATGACAAGATATTCTATCCGAGATGGAGAGGATGTTTATAATGATAAGAAGTGAATTTCATCTGGAGAGCATAACGCTAAGTATAGTTTAGCTAGTAACAAGGTTAATAGTAGCTGAGGCCCAAATTGACAGAACTAAAGGAAGAAATAATAGATGCTAACCTGCCTATCTCAGTGATTGCTAGAAAAAGAGGGGGAAAATCAGTAAAGCTTAAAGAATTCAGAACAAAAGTATAGTCACCTTGATATTTATAAAATTAATATTTGTAAAACACTTCATCCAATAACTGGAAAATATGATCTTTTCAAATGTATATAGAAAGTAGAGAAATGCAGATTAAGCATATGCTGAGCCATTAAAAAGTCTTAGCAAATTTCAAATATTTACATTTTGTAGAGGTAGTTCTTAAATGATAATTCAATTAGGTTAGAAAAAAAGAAAAAGATTTTTTGAAAGACCTTAAACTCTTATTATAATTCATGATCATTACAATCCAAAGGGAAATGAGAACATATTTTGAACTGATTGATAAAAAAAAAACACTATATATGAAAATGTTAAGGTTAGGGCAGTTTTTAGAGAGAATTTTATAGTTTTACTTTAGAAAAAAAAAAAAAAAAAACATTCTGCCTTCGAGGGAATTGATAGGAGAGGGACAATATCAAAAAGCTTCAATCCTGTGAAACTTGAATGACACAAGCCAATTAAACCCAAATCAAGGAAAAGCAATGAAATAACAAAGAGCAGAAATCAATGAAATAGAAAAGAAACTACAGGAAAAAAATTATCAAAATTAAATCTGCTTCTTAGGAAAGATTAATACAAGTATTATCCCTTAGTAAGTCTGGTGGAGGTTTAAAAAGAAAACACGAATTACCAAAATAAATGACTAAATATCAACATAGATTCTACAGACATTTTTGAAGGATAGTGAAAAAATATAATGAATGATTTTATATTTAAAAAAATCAATGTGTTGGGCAAATGTCTTTTAAAATCCAGCTTACTGGAACATAAGATGTAATGGAAAATCAGGATAGCCATTTATTAACAAAAGTCAATTTGTTGTCAAAACTTTTCTACAAAGAATGTTCTAAACCCAGAGGGTTTCACTAGAGAATTCTATTAAATATTAAGGAATTACATAATACCAATTTTATATAAACTCTTGGGAAATAGGGAAGGAAGAAAGATCAATAGATGCAGAAAACAGCAGTTAAGTTTCTGCATCCATTCATGATTAAAATTTTTAGCAAAGTAGAAGAGAACATTACGTAATGAAGACTATCTATGAAAAACTAATACTGTATCAAATGGTAACATGATAGACACTTTCCTATGATAAGGAGAAAAGCCAAGAATGCCACTGTTGTTTATTTGTTTTTCAGCACTGGGTATCAAAACCAGAGCTTCCTGCATGTATTTGCTCTACTACTACACTATATACCCAGCCCA